TAAGCAGTCTAATATGGTCTAATTTATTGTCGATAAATTAGACCATATTAGATTACATGGAATGTTTTATACTTTTTATAGACTGCTTTTGCTTACTTTGTTAACATAACCTGTTTTACCAAAGTTCCCAGGTAAACAAAGTAACTGAAGTATAATCTTTGACCAGTTCACCATTTTAAACTGTTCATTAGTTTAAACTAAACTTTTCTCAGTAAAGTTGTACATATTGTATTTTTTAATGTTCTTTCCATTACCCAGCCATGGACAACAGATGTATATGGGCTATTAAAACTAATTCTGGGGCAATTATTTTTAGTTTTATATTGTGAGAGTAAAGATAAATATTCAGTTTACTTTTGGGATCTAATTTTTATAACCCTTGGATCATGTTGTCCAGCCAATAATGAAGTCATTTATAGTGTAACTGGATTTTGTTGTGTCATAAAATTGACTGCTGCAAATATTGAGTTGTGCCTAAAATACTCAATAATTCTCTCACATAGACCACTGAGAACCACAAAGGCGATAATCTAGATTTTTAAATAGAATACAATGTATGACATAGATACAATAATACTACTCTCTGAGCAACTCTCTGAAACTTTGAGCAGGGCCAAAACACACATGCACACCAGGATCACTTGGGTAATATTTTATTTACTCATTAATCTTCAAAACTATTTTTTATAATAAATTTCCACTTTATGTTCATCAAAGAACAGTAACAATAAAAATAAAAAGTAAATACTGTAGAAAATTTGTACATATAGAAAAAAAACATGGTTAATGAATACCTAGATGTAAAATCCTATTGGTCGAGACACCTCCTTTGTTTCCGATGGCAAAACAACAGAGCAAGGGAGAAACTTAGCGATAGACTTAGTGGAAGTGAAGGATAACAATGAGGTCAAAAAGGCCAGTTAAGGATGGAGAGAGTTAGGTCAGTTATTTTGACATTATACTGTGAAATCTCACAAAAGACCTTTTTGATGTCTGTCGCCCATGTCCTTTTGGCATGCATCTGACTGGTTACAATGACTGGAGGAAATAACTGGATTAGTCATGTCATGGCACTCTTTGCGTTGATACATTACGGGGCTACAATTCTTGAACTGTTGAAGGCTCAGATGCTGCAAAAGTACACCAAGAGATACATTTTTAAAACCATCTTTCTGGCCTTTGGTGACTGTGTCATGTCTTTCGAAAAATTGTTTAACCAAAAGCATGAAGACAAAAAAATGCTAAGAGAGGGTCAGACAGAGAAAGACAGAAAGAGAGAAAGAGAGAGATAGAGAGAGAGAGAGAGAGAGAGAGAGAGAGTGCGAACTAGAGAGAGAAAAGGAAGAACCAATAAAATTGCAACTCAAGTTGTCATGGCCAGTGGCATCATGAACTGGATTTTCTATCTATTAGCAACACATGGTAACATTTACTTTGATCTATTTTTGACTTTTTTTTTTCATCCTCCGCTGGGTTTTTGCTATAAAAGGTGGTTTCTTAGAGCGGGTATGGTGAGGGTAGCCCATTAGATGCCAGGCTACAAAACAGGACATATCCTGAGGTGGGCGAACACATCCAGGTGTTGCGCTGGACCCACGTCACCCTTTCTTTCTTACACCTCCTCCAACAAACAAACATACCACCTTTGGACATAGTGGGTCACGCCACCACTCCACAGCAAAGCTCAGAGACTCAGGCATGCAGCACACTCGAAATGCTCACATTTGTTAATAAGGGTATAAACTGACAATTGATTTAGGGGTTAAACCATCGTTGAATCTCACATTGAAAACCAATAGAGGTGCGTTTATTCAGAAATACTTCAAGCCAAGGTGGTAAGTTTATGATGATGGTGCTTCATGGTGTAACGTCTTGAAGTTTCAACGCTGTAAAATCACACGGAGTAAGATAGTTCACGTGCAATAAGACCCCCCCCCCCACTCCCAAAATGTTCTTCATATTCGTCAATATCATTGCCATAATAATAATCATAATGGTCTTTTTCATTTTCACCATTGTCTTCTTGTATAGTCTTCAGAATCAGTCATGAAGAAATGGTGGATCTTTAGCACTGCAGATTGGTCTGCTTGTGTAGATTAATAAGTTGTATGCATCTGCGTGTACTGTGTTTGTGTTTGTGTGTGTGTGTGAGAGAGAGAGAGAAAGAGAGAGAGAGACACTACAGTCATGCATGACTGGTGTCTGTAGGTAGCATCTGAAGTCTCAAGTATCCTGTCCAGAAAAATATTTCAGTTTTCTGCTGATTCCACCTTTGATTTACAGGCCGCCATAAAACAGCTCTCTCTTTAACAACCGCAGCCCATTTATGAGATTAACGGCACCAAACCTTCCCTCTGCCTTTTCACTTGTAAATCACTGCCCCTATGGCTACACCCTGTTTTTCCTGTCCTGGTGCTTGAAATTAGACTTGGGCCAACAGTGTGCTTGTTTCTTCAGCAACCTCAGTGCTTCAATGATTCCCGTCTGTGAGTAGGGAGGAAGGCCAAGAAGCTTGGAAGAGACACTTGGTGCTTTTCTGGTTGCTTGTAGATCACACCATCCTTGTTTTTGTACTCTCAATATTAACACTGTCCGTCTGCATTTTCTTTCAATCACAGTTGTCCTCAACCTCCCAGAGTCAGTCTGGAAAGGTGTTGTGGCAGGGAACTAATCTGTCTTTTTTTCTGACTGGCCCTGGATTGGTTCATAACAGGACTTGTTTTTAAATTATTTGGAATGGTGTTTGTGTTCACAAAACAAGCCACTGTCAGAAGCCTGGCTCATTGGTAAATACTGTACAGTGTAGGTCCATGTCCCAGCGCCTGTGTGTGTATTTGTGTGCTTCAATGTTCTGTGTATGTGCTTGAGTGTGTAAATGTTTGTGCTTGCCAGAATGTGTGCAGGTATGATTATTGGAGAGTAAACATTTAACATCAGCATGTCTATGTCCGTGTGCATGTGTGTGTTTTTTTTTTTTTTGAGAATATATCTATTTATGTACATATACCGTTATATATAAAGGTGTATGCGGATATGTCTGTGTTAGGCGTCTTCTGCCTCACACATAGTACTCCTTGTCTTTGTTCTTCTTGTTTTTGGAAATTTTGGCAATGCCCAGCGGCTTGTCCTTGGCACTACCATTAGGCTGCGTTGCAGAGTTGCTGATGTAGTTGCGGCTCTCGTCCACGTGATAGGAGCCTTCGTCTCGGTTGCGATACTTGTACATGGCATAGAGGAGGATGAGGATGCAAAGAGCGGCGGCTGCGACAATGCCCACCACCATGCCTGTGGTGCTGCTGCTTTCCCGCACCACTTCTGATGGACCGGGGAAAACCTTCACCTCTGGCAGTGGAGGTCGAGCTGTAAGGTGGGAGGGGAGGAGATACATTAGGAGGGAATACATTTTAATAATTTGTATAACATGGAGGTTGGAGAGCTGGTGTAAAAAGATGCATTCTAAAGATGAATTATTTTACATACATTTTGCATAATGCTACATGCTGAAATGGAATGGCTGCAGACTAAAGTCAAAGCTGTTCCTACATAAGGACGTAATGTGTCAGCTGATTACATTACAGTGTGTTGAAAGAAGAGCCAGAGCAGAGGTTTATTTTATCATTTTCATTACACACATTTGACACAACTACTTACACGGGTAAACACCTGCAATTCAGTTTTACATTATAGTAGTTATTTTTCAAATACTAGGTCAAGACCTGCTATATTGCCATTTAATTAAATGAAAATACATAAAGGACATAGTAGTAGAAATGATTGTCTCTTTCCACTTCAATTTCTTTCTCTCTCCCTCGCTTTTACTTACTCTCACTCTAAGGGGGTTTACTTTATTAAATAAGAGAATAATCTGTCACTGCAAAAAGAGTTCCTTTATTGTGCGTCTGGACTGATCATGCAAAATGGCTGAGAGTTATGTAGGCATTTGATTCCTGCATAACTACACAGCATTACATGGACCCCTGTATATGTATATGTAGACAGTGGCTCACCTGAACTAGGGTCACAGGGTTCAATATCTTCATCATCACTGGGACACTCGGCTGACGCCACCAGCAGGTCATCCGCTGACTGTGAAGAAGGGAAAACCAAAAAAATCTGTAACATATGGAAGGGACCTATATCTTCACACTCTTCTAAAAGTTTGCAGTCCACACCAACTCCTTCTGTTTCTACATGTGTTAGCACACGGCTCAGAGTATCCCACTCATTTCTCGGTTTGCCATAAACACGTTTGCCTGTTGGGGCCCCAGCGTGGCAGCCAACCAAGTCCTACCTACCAAATACAGAGAAACAGGAACATTTTAGAAAATCAATTTTAAAGTGGTAAAAGAACACCTAGATATCACCTCCTACTCCCAACCCTCTTCCTTTAATTTCTCCTCTTTTACTTCACATGCCCTTGCTTTCCTGTGTTTGTTTGATCTGATATGGATTGTGTATTCAGTTAGTGTGGGAGCACGTGCGGTGTAGAGCAAAGAAGAATAAAATCAGTTTTTATTAAAGAGAATAGTGATGCATTTAAATCACCTTTATCACCTCATCAATAACTCAGCATCCAATCTCTAATCTACAGCAACAAAGTAATATCTCAGCTGCCCTCTCTCTGCGTCTCGTTCCCTCTCCATGGAAAACCCCCCCTCATCCCTCTTCATCCCTGCTCCTACTGTTGCTATGGCAACTCTTAAGTTCAGGCTGTTAAAAATGATGGGAATAAAAAAAGGGAGTGAGCACCCACTGTGGGGACCTGAGCATTGATTTGCCATTCCAGCCAATGTGTGAAAGAGGCAAGGAAGAGAAAGGGAGAAACAGATGGACAGACGGAAAAAATTAAGCTTTGAAAGAGAGAGACAGAGAAAGAGAGAGAGAGAGGGAGACAAAAGGTGAAAGAAAAGGGAGGAGGAGGAAGGGAAGGACTTCAAAGTGTTTTGATCTTTACTTAATACCAAGATTATGTGCTCTACATATTCATAAGCTGGTGTTAAACATTGCAGCCCTGATGGTTCAGCATAAGATGTATGAGGATTTGTATGTCCACAATAAGCACAATGAGCGTTCGGTGACAGCTTTAAATTGAAGTTAGATTGTGATGCATTGCAGTAGATATTGCTAACCCAGAGAATTAAGGCGAGGGAAGAAAGCAGCAGAGCTATGAGAAGAACAAGCTCTAGAGGCAGATAACAATCAGCAGTACATAAGCTGAAAATCAAATCAAAGTATAAATGGTTGATGATAGCTCAGTTTGAACCCCCAAGTGTGTGTTCAAACAGGCATTCCGTAAGTTTCCTTCCTGTCTGTGTTTCTTAAGTATACATTTCTCCAAAGGTGTTTGTAGGACCATGGATTACATAAGATTAGCGCAGCAGCCATTTAGTAAATTCATCTGAAAAATTCTCATGCTTGTTTAGTATAATGGTTAGAATTAGGTTGCCCTGATATTTTAGCTGTAGTTTAGTACGGACTATATCTTAAATTAGGTTATTGACACTTTTTTTCCCTCCACTGGCTTTACAATCAGTTCTGCCCACTGAATTGTCAAATGACGCTAGAGTGAACTTGGGTTCTGGAATCAAGTCAGTCAATAACCCACTCTGCCTTTGCCAGAATCCAAACAGCAAAAGAACCAATCAGCCAGCTGGAAATGCATAACCCCTGACATCTTTCAACAGTCATTGTCAGGCATCCGTGCTTGATTATTGATCCTAAACCACCTATGTGGCCTTCACAGACACCGTTGGAAACCGGACTGGAATAAAAGCAGATAAGCAAGTTTAACAAGACCCTCCTCATCTGTGACATAACCCCATCACCTGACCACCCCATTTAAACTTGAAGGCTGTAATTGAATTATCGAGCCAGCAATCACAAGGGACACAACAAAGAAGAAAAAAAAGCAAGAGGCATGCCAAACACATCTTAATTAACATCAATAAATCATAAAGGCGTGTGCTAAAAAGATGCATGGCTAAAATACTTCGCCATTTCTATCGCTCCCCTCCATCTTTTCCGTCGTCTATGTCTCCCTTTTGAGACTCTTTTAATTAAACATGCCGTTAAAGATACACAACAAAATGCAGTAAAGAATTTGATACAGAAGAGAGGACATAGCGAAGAGAGAGAAAAAGAGAGCACGAAGAAAAGAGTATCTGCATGCTGAAAGAGCAAAATCTCTACCTGAGCAGCTGAACAGTGCCACCGACCATCAATGCCTCCCTGACTCCCTAGTTCACACATAGTGGCTGATCTGTGTCCTTACACACT